TGGCTGCCTTTACTGTGGGCAGTAAATAAGTTAATTGATTATTCCAGAGTCGAAAAGGTTAACACAAAAGGAACGATTATTATGTGGACAGTCCAAGTCTTGGCTTCACACGTAAGATAGCACGCCAGGAATGGCAATACAGAAGCTCGAAAAGCCTATGTGTGACAAGACATAAGTCGGAAGCCGCGGCGCATGGACGGGAAGACTTCGCAAAAATAAGATCAGAATGCAGGGGATGGGCAACGTCATCCATAATCCGACCAGAAAATTGCTTGACCGTATTGACATGTAGTTGTAGGATAGTATCGACTAAAAAGATAAGAAACACCAGCGGCAGAAGAGAGCATTCGGAGGTCTCGTTCTGAAATTAAAAGATCTTTTTTGAGCAAAGCAGGAAAAATGATAGGAAAACAATAAAAAATAAAAGGAAGAATGCGGGCATCGATGAATCGCCAGACTATGTGTCGAGGGTGTGGTAGGAACTTAAACGACGGATGTAATAAAGATGTTTACGAACTATAGTAAATACGGACTCCATATGGAGGGAAAATAAAAGGTTTGAGGACAAAGTAACGTCAAGGTACCTGAAAGAGGATATCTCGTTAGGACGGATGTCAGAGGATTCAGGACTAGGATAGGGCCGCAGTCAGGAAATACACTGAACTGATTTTTGGTTGTTCACTAGGGGACCATTTTCCTCAGACCATACTAGGACATGGTTAAGGCCATCCTTCAGAGACTGGAGGTACATCAGATTTTTGAGAGTGTCCAACAACTACATCACCATACTTAACCAAAAGACAGTCGTTAGGGGATCTAAGTTCATCGGTGTGGAGGGAGAAAAGGTGAGGGGATAAAATGGAACCTTGAAGAACTCCGCAGTCGTTGGGAAGGACCATAGATTTCCGCTTGTCAGATTGGACATATTGATTGCGGGAAAAAAATAATCGCTAAGTCAAGAGACGACCCAGCATGGAGAGCAGCACGCGGATGTTTTGGTAAGGAGAAGAGGCCGCTTGACGGTATTGAAGGCGGAGGAATTGTCAAGAAAAGCGCGTGCGTACTCGCGGCAACACTTGTTTAATTCTTTTAGGACATGGTGAGCTACAAGAGCAACAGCATCTAAAGTACTATGCTTGGCTTTATATGCAAATTGTAAAGGGTCGGAAAGACTGGAAGAAAAAGGCTTTATACTATCTAAAGCCCGGCTTTCAGCATGCTTTGTAGTGTGGAAGAGCAGGCAATTGGTTGAAAAGACTTACGACCAAAATTAGCGAGTTTTTTTAGGGACGGAATTGATTCTCACTGTACGCCAGGCGTCGGCAATCTTGGTCTCCATGAAAGACCTGTTAATAAGGTGTGTTAAAATAGGGGCTATCTGAGAACAACAAGATTTAAGAAAAAAGATGAGACAGTATTCAGTCGGACAGTTGCTGACCCACAGGCCCCTTCAAAGTGCTTCTCTATTGTTACTACAGACACAGGTTGGGAGGCACATGGCGATAGTTGAATGTCATTTAAGGGAAGATGGGAGTCATTGTGACTAAAGATAAAATGTTTATTTAAGGAGTCTTAATCTGCACCCACATGTACCAATGTGTTACACTGGCCAGTAAGACGTTTTAGATTCTTCCAAATCTAAGCAGAGGAAAGGGAAAAATTGCAGGGAGAAGGGGTAAAAAGCAAAGTAACGAACAGGTTAATTAGCCTGCTAATCTCTGCTTTTATTAAGACGGTAACGTCTTTAAGGCTGTCACGTAAGCCTAGCTCGTACGGGAGTTCTTTTTTCGTCTTAAGAATTTCAGATAGGAGGAAAGAATTCTATCCGGTCGTACCATTACAGTATCAAGAGGACAGTAAATGTCCGAAATTTCATTTAACAATGCTGTAAGAGTGGAAGAACAGCGTTCAACGGTCAATAGTTTACGGAAAGCGGGGATAGTATAAGATATACAAATCTGAAGCAGACGAATGTCTTTCGCGGATATGTTACAAGCCTTAACCCTTCCCTCGGGCTTGGCTAACAGCGCACGTCTAGAGGTAGGATCGATTTTTGGAAGACCCAATAAGGTATAATGTTCAGAACCTCACAATGAAGCCATATTTTTGAAACAAAAAGCTTGTTGTGGTTGGTCATAATATGATAAAAAGGAGCATCTGCGCGAGCATTCAATGAGACAAGATCATAAATTAGTAATGAGCGGAACCTGCATCTCAGGAATACGCTCAGTACTGCCTCTCTCAACGCAAGATCATTCGCACAAAAGATGTCACAACTAAGAAGTGTGGCTGTTGAGTTTGACCCAGATGTTTCGTGCAGTACAGAATCTTGGGGTCACTCACAGATTTCCTACTCGGCGGTTACTATAGAGAGTCTCAGCTTATACCGACAAGACCGTGATGAAAAACGTGGCGGTGTTTGGCTTCTTGACATCAGAGTCTCATTTAACATTCGCCTTCTTACCTGAGCATTTTTTTCCTTATTACAAATTTTCATGTCGTTTCGGTAGTCATTCCGTGAAATAGGCCAGCCCTTACTGGGTGCACAGATAATCTCATTCGTTACTCCCGAAATGAAAGTCAACTCTGTGAACTGCTTGGAAAAATTGCAGAGACTTCTATCGATGTCAAGATAATCGTAGGCAATTTCAATTTGCCAGAAATTTACTGGCATGAACATACTTTTTTCCGTAGATTCCAAAGGCTTTTGGATACGATTTACTTTTCAAACAAGCCCCTGTTAGTCCACTTTTCGAACGGAAACGCTAGAGTGTTGGATTTGACTTTTACAAATGTTATCCTCCTCTTATCCCTGGATTTCCATCGTGACATGTTTACAAGTGATCAGGCAATAATTCATTGTTGTCTTTCAGTTTTGACTTCTGCAAAGCAAGCAGTAAAACATAGCTTTTTGACTATGTAAGTGTTAACAAGTAACTAGTGAATAACTCTACAAGCACTCTCGATTGGCACAATATCGGTTCAAATAATGATCCAAATTTTGCTGCGATTTACTGCAGTGCGTAACAGAAAATCTTCTCGATCTCATTCCGCTGAAGACGTTTAAGTCGAATGCCCCTTACCTCAGCGTCCTTTATTTTCTTCGAAATAGACTTCAAAAGCTCACTATCGGTTCACCCAAGAATCGCCAAAATATTTGAATTAGCTTCGGAAATGAGACTCACGCGAGATAAGCGTAGAGAATCTTGAACTATTAGTGGCGTGAATCCTTCTAGATTTGTTGCTCAGGTCTTCCATCAGAGATCATTAGCTAAGTCCCACCAAGTCATTTCGCATGTGCTTAGTTCCAACGATACCTTCATTACAAAGGAGTCAGGAAAAGATGAAGTGTTAAATTCATCCTTTTCCAAACATTTACCATTGAAACTGATCCCATCCCTTCAGTTCCTCCGATGTCTGATAATTGACTCACAGGCATGAATTTTGCTCCTGCAAATGTTCAGAAGCTGGTAAGCCAGCTCACTAACTCGCATTCAGTAGGAACTGACTCTACCCCAAACTCTCTTATAAAAGGGCTATGAGATTTTCCTCCGATGCATAGCGAATTCTTTTTAGTCTCTATCGAAAATGGTCTCTTACTTGACTACTGGCAAGTTTCATTTATTATTACAGTATTTGAATCTGGCTCTCGTTTTGATGTTTACAACTGTCGAGGTGACCATAAAACACCTTCTCTCGTCAAAAGCTTTGAAAAAATTATCGACATGAAAATTAATGACTTTTTCATAACCAATCAAATAATTAGCTCTTCTCAACACGGCTTTTAACCCGATCGCTCTTGTGAAGCGTGTCATATGTCGTTTCTCAATATACTTACTTCTCTGCACAATGATCATTTATCTGCTGTCGTTATTTATTTTGATCTTAATAAAGCCTTTGATAAAGTATCACATAGAGGACTCGTAACTGAATTGGAAGCTCTGGGACTTCGCAGTCCCTTATAGACTTTATCGAGTCATATCTGTCTAATTTTAAACAAAAGGTTTTAGTGGGATCTTCATTTTACAATAAGACACCTATTGTAAGTGGTGTCCTTCAAGGTACAGTTTTAGGCCCTTTTTTGTATTTGCTCTACTTTAATGACATTTCGTAGGCAGTTAAATATTCTTGATTTTTATATTGATCTTTATATTTGTATTTCGAGAAGAAGCGATTTTTGAAGAAATAAAAAGCTTGAATGAATGTAAATCGCCCGGTCCGAACGAGATCCCAGCAAATCTGCTCTTTGAGCTTGCCCGAGAGCTGGCCAAACCACTATCCTTTCTGTGCCAGGAATCGTTTGATGCTGGAATCCTTGCCACAGACTGGAAGACGGTCCACATTACACCCCTTTACAAAAGCGGTAGTCGTGCTCTTTCGAAAAACTACAGACCCGTCGGTCTGACATCAATCTGCTGCAAAGTAATAGAGAAAACCATAAAAAAGGAGTTGATGGCTTATCTGGAAACCCACAACCTCTTGTCCAATGCACAATACGGTTTTCATAGGGGAAGACAATGCGTAACGAACTTGCTATATATAAAGCAAAGTTAGACAAGATCACTGGACGCAAAACGCACTGTGCATGTGACCTATATTGATTGCCGGAAGGCGTTCGACAGTGTTCTGCACCAACGTCTCCTCTACAAGTTGAGAATAATGGGCATCGCCGGCAAACTTCTCAAATACAACGAGAATTTCATCGTCGACTGTTCCCAAATTGTCTGCGTAGAACAACAGCAATCAAGGCGCGCATTCATAGAAAGTGGAGTCCCACAACGCTCGGTGCTCGGACCAACCCTCTTTCTCTTGTTCATCAATGATCGTGTAGATGGGTTGGACTGTGATGGTACCATGTTTTCGGATGACATAAAAATCTGGAAAGTCATCCAGAATGCTGCCGATGAGATCAACTTCCAAGAAAATCTTTGGCGATTGGACGAGTGGTCCCGCAGATGGCTCTTTTCCTTCAATTTGAACAAATGTACCATACTGCGCCTCGGAAATCAGACCCCTAGTCCGCTGCAATACCATCTGAACGGAATGCTACTCCGAGAAGCAGAAACTCAGAAAAATTTCTGAGTCTGGGTTGCAGACAGCCAAAAGCCTTCTATACAATGTTGTATGGCGGCCAAGGCCGCAACTTCAATGCTATATGCCATCAAGCGGACATTCGCAGTTTTTGATGAAGATTGCTTCTTCAAAGTCTTTGGCACGTTTGTAAGGCCGCATCTCGAATATGCAATTCAGGCCTGGAGACCGAGGACGCAGCAGAATTACAATCTGCTCGAAAGGGTGTTGAGGCGAACAACAAAATTAATAAGAGGTCAAGGTGCACTGCCATGCGAGATCCGCTTAACTAACCCTAATCTCTATCCTATGAGTTATGGTCAGTTGCGCGGAGACTTGATGCAAACTTTCCGTATCGTGCCTGGCTTGGACTGCGCCCTTCGGTGCGACGTATTCTTCAAACTCGCACTACAACTAACCTCTGGGGACATCTCTTCAAGCTACGTGTGCCCCAGGGTTAATTGAATGTGATAAAACATTTCTCCAACCGTGTCGTTGAGCCGTGGAATAACCTGCCCGAAACGATTGTCATGTCTCAATAGGTGGAGACATTTAAATGTCGGCTCGACAGATATATGCTGCAGAAACTATCGGACTATGTGACTTTTTAGTCATGAGACCACTGACATATGTGAATCAATGTCTGCATTCACTTAATGCTGTAATTTCTTCACATTTTTCCTTATTTTATCGATTTTTAATGTACGCCTAGGGAGTTCAAATGCGGAAGCCTATTCCCCTCAAATACACTGGCTGACTGACTGAACTAACAGTGAAATTATTTTCTTCAAGGAACTTCATTATGGCTTCTTGACTATTCTCTCCATGACTTTACAACAAATGCCCGTTAAGCTCACCGGCCGATAATTGTTTGCATTCGTTTTAGACCCAAACTTGTGAATGGGATATATGTTCACCACTTTTCAAACAGAGGAAAGAACGCCTTTGTCAAAAGACGACCTGAAGTTATGCAAAAGCGGTCTGACGCGTTCGCAAGCCAACTCCTTCAGAACTTTTGCCGATATTTGGTCTGGACCCGGAGACTTACCCTCCTTAAGCGATAGAATTTCTTTTCTCACATCTTTCTCCGTTAATTTGAAGTTTTCTATTATTTCGTCAGTTGCTCCAGTTGGCAATCCAGCTTCGTCATAATCCGTTTCAGCGGTGAAAACAGATAAAAAAAACCCGGCCAAGATGCTCTATATTAGCGTCATTTTCCATGATATTTTCATTGCTTTCTCCTTTTAACACTAAGTCCGTCTTCTTGTTATTTAACCTGCTGTTGACGTAACTGAAGAGCACCTTTGGCTTACCGACAGCTCGTTCCATAACTCTCGTCTCATACTCCTTCTGCGATCTGCGGATAGCTGACCTTACCTCGTTTTGCCTTCCGAGAAACTGCTCGTAATGAGATGGTTGTTTTATTGTTGCATGTCTTCTCCATAGTTTGTACTACCGGTTTAATAAAAATGATAATAATAATAATAATAATTTTTATTCAAGACCCGTGGGTGTCCTTTCATAGCAAGTAAGAATAACTTTTACATTAATTTTAGAATTATAGACGAGGTATACGGAATTAATACAATACTTAGTTCATAGTCATTGAACAGGTAGTATGATTCGAAGAATGTTGAACGAGCATTAAAAAACTCCTAACATGAATACGACTGGATTAGCACTATAGGAGAAAAAACTCTTGCTCCTTAATATATAAAAAGCAGGCATGACCGGCCTGTATATGGTATTGTATAACGGATTTCATGAAGGGGTAATTAGGCAGGTCAGGCAGGACTGGCCTGCATGTGGTCTTGAGTAAAAGGTTCGAAAGGGGCATCATCAAGGCAGAATTTATATGCCGGATGAGGCCATTCATGTTAAAGTGACGAATAGGAAACCATTACCGAGGCGATAGGAACCCAGATGCGATCGGTTAAATTCAGTCGAGTCCAGCCGAGGAGGGGCAAGGGAGATGCAACCAGACTACTAGTGCATGGCAAGTACCGACTGTTCCGTCAAGAGCGTCGATAGAGCGCATTCTGTTAGGGCACGATGCCTGAACTGAAAAATCGAAAAATTAAAATTTCTAATGAGGGAGCCTTCGAAGCGATATGACCCACAAAAGAAGAAAATGTGAGCAGATACGGAAATTTAATGGCGGCGCCCTAAACTCCCTGTGGCTCTTTCTCAGTGTCATAGAGAAAGTTGTCCGGGAAGGATGAGGAAAATAAAAGCTCAATCGAGTCAGTATTCAGATAAAGGCGTAGCCCTCTCTTAAAAGCGTGTAGAGTATCTGAAGATCTTATATTTATTGGAAGGTTATTCCGGAGGAAATTATATCTAGAAGCGAAGAAATGAGAGCGCTTAGAGGTGGAGGAAGTTAGAGGAGGTATAATTAGGGAAGAGTTGCGAAGATTGTATGGGCGACTACTAGGGGTAAGTGCTGAAATCCCAGGAATATTTGAACTATTATCAATGCTCCTAGTCCTCGAACCCATAAAAATGTTAAGTTAAGTAGCTGGCATCTGTCTGAGTAGGAGATATTTGGATTTTCCCTGCCTACAAGTTTTCTAGTAAAACATCTTTAAATATTTTCAATTTTTAAACGACTAGCCTCGTTCATCAAACCAAAGAATGGGCAACAATACTCGAGAATGGGAAGTACAAACATGCGATAGAGTCTTAATTTAATTTCAGGAAGATAGAAATTATAAGAAATAAAGTCATAAATCTGGGCAGCTTTGGCTGTAATTCTGTCAGGGTGTGACGAGAGATCAAGATTATTTTTGTAGCTGAAACCGAAATCCCTGATGGTGGTGCATTCAGTCATAGGTGTGCCTTGAAAGACCATTGGATGGGGTAGCCTATCAGGTCCAAAACACATAAAGCGACGTTTAGACGGAGAGAATTCCATTAGCCATTTTGAGCTCCAAGATGAGAGAGCAAGCAAGTTAGCATGGATTTGCTCCAGGCAATGAAGGCTCGTAGATTTATTGAAAGAATATACACATTTGAGATCATCGGCATAAATAAATGATTGAGAATGTTTAACTGCTGACGAAATATCATTTATGTAAAGCAAGAACAAAAGAGGACCTAAAACGGTACCTTGTAGGACACCACTTGCAATAGGGCTTTCACTGGAAAGTGAAGTTCCCACTAAAACCTTGTGTTTACGATTAGACAGGTATGACTTGATTAAGTCTATAAGGGGACTGCGAATTCCAAGAGCTTCTAATTTAACCAAAAGTCTTTTATGTGGCACTATATCAAAGGCTTTACTAAGATCAAAATAAATAACGACAACAGATAGACGGTCACTACGAAGAGAAGTAAGTAGATTGAGAAACGAAAAATGACATGTTTCACAAGAGCAATTTGGTAAAAAACCATGCTGAGAAGGGCTAATAACTTGATTGGATATGCAAAAGTCGGTAATTATAAGGCGATAATTTTTTCAAAGGTTTTAGCGATCGAAGGTGTTTTATGTACACCTCGATAGTTCTGAACGTCAGAACGACAGCCAGAGTAAAAAAAACTGGAATAATTGAAGTTTTCCAATAACCAGGAAAGAAGCCATTGACGAGGAATACCGAAAAGAGTTTGCTAAGAAGAGGAGGAAAATCGCCCAGCTGTGTTATAAGAGAGTTTGGAATATTGTTCGTATCTACTGAGTGCGAGTTAGGAAGAGGGTTTACCAGTTTTTGAATAGGCTCAGGATAAAAATTAATGACGTTTACAGAGGCATCAGACAACGGAGGGAAAAAGGGATTGGGTCAGTTTCGATGGTGAAATTTTTTGCAAAGAATGAATTTAACAATTCTGCTTTGCCTAACTCCTCTGTAATGAAGGCATCGTTGGTACTAAGCAAAATCGGAATGACTTGGTGGGATTTAGCAGATAACCTTTGACGGTAGATCCCAGCAAATGATTTTGAGGCATTCACGTTACTAAGAGCTAAAGGCCCTCTACGCCTGACTCAAGCGAGCCTCAGACCCGAAGATAAATGAAATATTTCAACGATTCTAAGGTGGAAAGATAAAGAGGTCACACAAGGATCTTCGAGCTGCTTGCGAACATAATTAAATCTGTTTTCACGAAAGTGTGAGACATCAGTGGAAGTGGCACATGATTTGAAAGTCTTCCGTGGAATAAGGCCGAGAAGAATTTCGGTTAAGAATTGCAATAAATTGTTGAAAAAATTTAGATTATAAGGTGACAAATATTGCGTCAATAAAGATAATAAAGATCGTAAAGATATTTACAAATTACTAGTAAACATTAGCAAAGTCACGAATACAACGTAGGAATGTTGAAATTCCGGAAACGGAAACAGGAAGCCGACAAAGAAATAATGCAAGGTCATTTGCAAAAAAACATGAGAGAGATATATAAACCAAGGGAAGCTGCAATTAGTAAAAATTATGTCTATCACACTATGATTTCTAGTCGATAAATACACAAACTCAGATAAGTGAAGCAACAATGACCGAAAAACTACTACTTTAAATAAGTTGGGAATCACCGAATGGGTGACTCTTGAAGAAAGAAACTAACAGCCATTATTCTATCAAAAGCTGCTGATGAGATTAGTTACAGATAGACAAGTTTCAGCGACTACATACTGAGTGCCAGCCAATCATAGGGCCGAGTCACATACCATAAAGTGTGCACGTGTAGCACGAAGTGGCTCACCATGGTTGTACCTGGCGTTTATGCTCGGCTCATAGGACAGTCAGCCCACTCGTAGCCAGGACGCCTATGCTATGGCTGGGGGGAGATGCAGTCGAGCAGAATTGAATTCAATTTTAGATATAAAAATAACGGGAGTGTTTCTAGAGGGGAAGGGTGAGTTCTCAGTTAATCCAACATGCCGTCGAGAAATTCATATTGAGGGAGTGTGGCTATAACAGCATCAAAGGAAGCCTTCGACACGGTCTTCCTCCCCGAACCAGCGGCCATCCGGGCAGCCTCCACAGTTAGATCTACAATAAACTTTTCCGTTGCACTGCTCAAGACAGCGAGCGATTCGGAATTAATCAAATGTACGGAGGACACGGTCTTGACTATGGTCTTTAGACGTGAGACTGGGAACCGGATAGGCCTGACGTAAGCCGCTTGTGTCTCTTCGGGCACTGCCCCATCGTCTGCCGGAAAAAATAGACGACAGACACCCACAACTTGCCTTCTAAAAGTCCAACTCCGTGAGGCGACTCTTCATCATGAACAAGTTCGCCTTCGTCTTCCGTAAGTCAGTTTAAGTCAGGTTATTAAGGGAATGAGGCTTTCGCCCTTGAGCTCCCTATTCATATCGACAAACAGAAATAAAGTCATCAATTACATCAACAAATGCGAAAAGTTAAGAAGTTAGCGGTATGTGTGAGCCAGGCGCAAACTGCCACCGCTAAAAAAAATCATTATTATATGTACAGTAGGTTCTCAAAAGACGAGCATCTAGTCTGCACTTAAAGGACTTGACACTTTCGGAAAGAACGACGGCATCAGGGAGTCCATTCTATGCCCCGATGACCCTGTGAGAGAAGGCGTTCCGTCGAACGTCCGAACGAGCCCGCTTCCTTTGCAGTTTGAAGGGATGACCACGCAGACGGTCAGTCCCGGCCAATTCAAAGAATTCACTAAAGTCTAGGGCACACTCACGACCTCTGACAATCCTGTAGGTTTGAATGAGATCGCCGCGCAGTTGCCTGTAATTTAGAGGAAACAGATTTAGTTCGGTGAACCTGGTTTTGTAAGGCAAATGATGAAGATTCTTCACCATCTTCGTAGCCATCGCCTGTACTCTTTCCAGTCGTTGATAATCTTTCTTTAACCACGGTCGCCAGGCCTGGACTGCATACTCTATGTGAGACCGGACGAATGCCCCATAGGTTTTTCCGAACAGATATTTGTCGATCTGCACAAATCCTCGCCTCAGCGCAAATAACACCCTTATCGCACTTTTGGCTGCCCTTTGACACTGTGAAGATGGTTTCAGCGAGGAGGTCATTAGGACGCCCAGGTCTTTCTGTTCCACAACATTTGAAAGGGGCTGACCGCCAAGGACATATTGAAAGGAATCGTTCTCCTTACTGGTCTGTCTGGTGCGGAGTCTCAGGACCACACATTTGTCCACATTAAAACTGAGGAGCCAGCGAGCTGGCCAACTGTTTAGGTGGTTCAGACTGTCTTTAAGCGCGTACCTGTCTGCGTCAGATCTGATGGGTCTCCACAGCTTAAAATCGTCAGCAAACATGATGGCGCTGCATCCCAGGTCGTCGACGCAGTCGTTAATGTAAACCAGGAATAGCAACGGCCCTAAGACGGAGCCCTGGGGTACACCACTTAGAATTGGAGTAGGAGTTGACCTTGAGGCCTCAATGCACACGGTTTGCGATCTCTCGGTAAGAAAATCTGTTATCCATGTCAGCAGCGTTCCTCTTATCTCAATTTCAGAAAGTTAGTAGATTAGGCGTTTGTGTGGGACGCTGTCGAACGCCTTCTTAAAGTCTGTGTATATGACATCAACCCTACCATCCTCATCCAGTGCGCGAGTCCACTGCTCCGTCGAGAGCAATCAACTGGAAAGACACGAGCGGTTCTGTCTAAAGCCGTGCTGCAGGTCTGAGATTAAATGGCCCTGCTCCAGGAACTCCATAGTTGCTTTCTTAACTATGGCCTCCATTATTTTACAGCAGATGCA